AAAGATTGATCTTTTTTATTCCATTTTTATACAAGTTTTTTTTTTATATTTATATGCTGTTTTTGCAGCTTTTTTTATATATTCAGTAGTGTGAGATCGTGAATCAAAAAGCTTTTTATATAAAGGGTATTGTTTAGTGATATTTTTTTACTCTATTAAACTTGTATTCCAGTAAAAACAATACTATCATTATTTATTTATGTTTTTTCCTTAAAATATCTACTTCCAAGGCAGTAAAACAAAAGTTCTGGATGATCGTATTTTTATTAATTTATGGTGGATATTCGTTTTCTTTTCTCCAAATATTCTTTGAACTATATTTCGAAATTGGGTGTTTATATATATATCTAAAAAAGGTAGTTTTAAGTGGTATAATTGATTTATTAATATACCGTTACTTATCAAAATTGGCCTTAGACACAAAAAGTGAAAATTAAAAATCTTGCTGGTGGTAAAAATATGTTCCTATTTTAAATACGTTTGAACTGATGATTCCAGGCACTTTTCACTATTTTTTGCTCATGACGACATACAAAGGTAAAAACAATAAAATATAATTAAATCTTATACTAATTACATACCTGTCAAAATATTTGTATCACTTATTATGGAGTTACAACGAGGGTTTAAATTTACATCACCGAGTGTAGAAATTAAATCTATACATTAACTAGTGGCAGTAACTTAATAACGTTTCCATCTATTTACAGGTAAAGTACAATGAATGTTAAATAATACATTATGAGGAAAATAATTATCTACAACTAAGGTGGGTTGAAACAAGTACACTTTTTATTTATCTGTTTACCATATAATAAATAAAATTGTAGAATATGTGCACTAATAGCACAAGGCACAATTTACTGCTTTAGATAGATTTTAAAGCTGGTTTAAATCAAATTAGAAAGCATGCACCCCCTCACCTCGAAATTAAAACACTAATTTTTGATTATACATTTAAAATTATTACTTTAAATGAGGAATTGTATTTATATTTAATTTTATGATAAAGAATAAGAGTTATAATAATGAAAAGAGGGGTAGAAAACAATTATCTACTTTTTTAGATACTTGCATCATTACATAGTATTTAGGATGCTTTACCAAGGAACCAGCTAAACAATCAATTCATAATTAGGGCCCAAACTTGAACGTAATTCGTCATAATTGTTTTATCACAGACAAACAACTTAATTAAAATGTTTGGAAAAATGATAACAAATTGTTAATGGCGAAGCACTACATTCTAGTCTTCAGTTCGTATAAATAAATAAAAAACTACATATATTTCTATGACGAAATGTTAAAGCCTGCGGCCCGTGACAAATAATACTAGCACCCCCAAAGTAGTCATTGCAGGTGCCTGGAACCTATGCACTAACACCTTTTACAGAATACGACTCTGGTTGAAAACTAAAAGTTAAACATACGGTAAATTTGTCCATCTCTCAGAATAAAATGTTTTAACTATTTAAAAAAAAGTAGAGATCACAAATACTCGTTTATAATTATTAATTTAAAATATATGGGGGATATATGGAACAACTTCGTTCTTATTTGGCGACAACATTCAAATAAACGCAAGAGCATCGAACAACAAATTTAAGGAGTAAATGATTTAAATTCAAGCAATTCCTTCTTAGGTTTTTCCATTAGAAACGTATGTAGCGTAATTAATTAATACTTCAAGAGAACAATAATAAAAAGTTTACAAATGAAATACTTAGAAAAAATATATGACTGCAAAAATAAAAATTATGAAGTGTATTATACAAATTAAGGAACTTGCATTTTTGAGCGGTAATACTAATAATTGTATATGTATACAGCTTGAATTTAAATACAAAATTACATTACTGTTGGCAGACAGGGAACAATAGTGCACAAAATAAATAAGCATTAAATTAACAAGAATGAAAACATCACAATAATTTAAGTATAAACGATACAACGTTTATAAAAATTTTTCTCAATTTAATGCCAATTTCAAGTTTTTTTTTTTTTGTTATATTATGTACATTTGAAACACCACACTGTTGAATAATCTCAAAATTGCTACTCTTCCTGAGACTGTTAAACTACATTTTTGAAAACTCGCGTTTATAATAACATGAAAAATTCAAATCAAAATGTTTTCAAAATGGTATAACACTTAAGTAAACTAATTAAAATTAAGCAATTAGGTATCAGGCAACAGACTAAACAACGCAATATTAAGATGATAAAAAGAAAATATTTGATTATTTTGATAACATGTTACATCATAAGGTATGCATATCGATGATGAACAATATTATTGAAATTTTCTAAGTAGTTAAGTGTTCAGGCCTCAGTCTTTTCAGTGTCATTTCACTTTTCTTAATAACATAATTATAAAAAAAAATAAACGAACGGACAAATATACGTGCTGTTACCATTTTAAAATACATTTAAATTTGCATTTTATTTATGAGTTTTATATTACTTCAACATCAAACTTTATTTATAAAAATAGTTATCTTGCTAAAAAATAATAAACACTCATTTTAAGCAATGTGGCATTCAGTTTTCACAGAAAATTGGCGTTTAAATGTTACATTTTTTGCAATTATTTTAGAAGGTGTTCACATAAATTTGTACCATTATAACAAAGCATTTTGTNCATGATGGTCATCTTGCAGCAATATTTAAAAAAATATAAATTAACTATTAAATATCTATTCGAGGACGATATTGCAAAATAAGGGGTGGGTTTTGAAACCTCCATCTTGTTACGTACACAAATTTTAAGGTATGATCTTTACCTAATAGTTCATCATTGCACAGTATATCAATCTGAAAATAATTAGTTTTCCTATATTCTTTAGAAATACACCAAAAATTAAACAACAAAATTAGCAAAATGAATTTCTTACGTCACGATATTTTTCCATTCCATTAAGCACTTTCTTGGCTACAAACTTTTTCAGGTGAAGAATAGTTGCTTGGGCAGAACAGCGTATAAAGCGTCTTTTAAGTGTTTTAAGATTTGAACTAACACATTCTAAGCAAACATTTACTTGCTCATCTTGTCTATGATAGTCAGACTCTGCATGAGCTTCACTTGTATTCTTGTCTTCATCTAATTCACCAGGATTTGGTGGTATATCTTTGGGGCATTGTAGTCCACGTAGTCTATAAAATTCTCGTTCTCTATTAATTTCATCTGAAATATAGTATTTAAATAACAGTAGTACAAATGTTGTTAACAAGTTACTTTTTTGAAGATCAGGAACTAACTTATATACTATATCCTGCATTGTACGGTCAAAGCTTATGTACTGTAATGGATGTGACTGATGAATAACTATATTGCATGTTGGACATGTATTGTTCTCTTCTAGATGTTTGACAAGACAGCTTTTACAAACTGCAATGGAAAAGAATGAATAAAACGAGCCTTTCATTCACTTATTACTGAATTTGATACATAAAAAACATCACACTTACATGTATGTAAACACTCTGTTACGGTTGTTGCATCTATCAAATAACCTCTACATATTTTACATGTAATGTGACTGTTTAAAGTTTTTAGCTTTATTCTTCTTTCCATTGTCATAATTGTAAATAAAACATAATAACATTCATTCTAACCCTAAATAATTGTTACCCGAAAATGCTTCAAACGTGTTTGACAGAAATGTCAGACGGCAGTTATCAGCTATTACAGTGGCACTGTTTGCTGGTGTTGTAAAAGAGCAAAAATAAACTAAAATATATTAATTTTATGTATATTTTAGTAAGATGATATAGTAGGGGTATAAAAATGCATTTTTAATTTTTAAATGTTTATTTACAGAAATAAATCAAATATAGGTTCCTAACAGTTAAAAATCAGTTTTCAAATTAAGCTTTGAAGTATTGCCAATAGATGTCTCACTATGCCTTGTCTTTTTATTTTTGGGTGGTTAATTTGAATTTAAAAAATAATTGCATAGGAGCGTTACATACAATACACTTAGAATAAGTATATAGTAATATGGGTAAAATAACAGTTGATTCACTTTAAAATAGTAAATAGCATGTTCTTACTACTTTCCTTTCTTGCTTTTCGCTATAAATGTGAACAAGGACCGATTTACATAGGATAGGTAAAGACCCCATAAATTGGTGTTTAAGTATTAACAGTAGTTTTTATAACGACTCATAGGTCGAAACGAAATTTCGTATTCTTTACTGTTGAAAATTTTTTTTAATATATTTCATCCATCTGTCGAGCGTTGCACATAGTTTTAATTAGCTGTGTACTCGTAGAGAATGCAAATTTTAATTACTATTATTACAATTAGACAATATTTATTGGTGATTGATGCATGTTTAAACAAAGGATTACAAAAGGCGCAACTGCATTAATAAGGTGGGCTTATCATTAGGACGATGACTCATAAAATGAATATTCAATGATTATATTTTACATCCCAAATAAAACGTATTGGAATTTGAAAATATATTTACTTGATTATATCTAATACTTTTGCGTTAACTATTTAAAATAGCAATCTGAAAAATAATCCGCGTTAATTCTTTTAATGAAAAAGCTTAATTTAAAAATTTAACATTTGTTGCTGAAATAGATGGAACAGTTCAGTGTCCCTTATCGATTTTTAAATATTTAAACAAGCGTTTATATTATATTGTTAGGGTTATGGAAGATATATTATGTTCTTCATTATCTCAAACTTCTGCATGTATTTAATAAACCCACAAGGCATATCAGCAGGTGGGCGAGAAATATGTTTACATCCTAATAAGATAAGAATAAATTGCTAAGGAAGTAACACCACGAATGTACCCTCTATTTAAATAAGGGTGTAAGACAAGATAAATTAGCTTTCAGGAAAGGGAACTTATGTTTTGCTGCATTGTTATATTAAAAACAATGTAGAGTAATTTTATTTTATTGAAGACAAATTTAAAAGTTCTGTTTTTGCATTAACTGTTTGTTTAAAAATTAAGGAAAAGCTACTTTTATATATGATTAATTTTAATATAACATATTTAGTTTGTTGACTATTAAAAAATCTTGGATAGGTGTAATTAAAAAAAGGCTACATAAACATATCAATTTGAGAATATTTTATGTTTGCTGCTACATAACTTAGATGTTTGATTTAATTAGTAATTATAAAAAAATACTGATCTAGTTTTTGATCTGCATTGAAAAATTTATTATTTAAGTTTAATTACAATACAAAATGCAATATAATTAAGCTAGACATACTTCAGACTTTTTTTTTTCAATATTATGAAATGCAAAATTGAACAATGTTATACTAAAAAACAATGTTTACCACAAGCCTGAGGACCAACCACCTGGTGGAACTCGTACTTTTTGAGGAGCATTTGATTGATTTTTTTCATTAGTGGATGATTCATTGTCCTTTGGATTATTATTTTCATTTCCATTCTCACATGTTTGAATCTTTTCATTTTCTTTTGTTTCTTCTTCTTTCTTGGTTTCTGGCTGTGTAGGAGGTGAAGAATCTTCAAACTTGAAACAGTCTGCTATACCGCTTTTTGGGGTGCTTTTAACCGCTTTAACAGCGTCATTTTGGCCTCCTACAAGGGTGAAATTTCGATAAAATAAAAACATCTGATGAATCATTTCAATTGTTAATGTTAATGTTAATAATGATAAATAACTTACCTTTTACGCCTAAGATATCTGTGTAAGAACCACCAGGTGGTCTTAAAACGCGACTTGAACTTCTTGGTCCATCAATGTTATAATGATCAGTAGACATTTTTAATAAATCGGCACTCTTTTAAAATTAACTGATTAGTATTATAAATTCAAAATATGAATTACGACCGTTACGGTTTTTACTTGCTTTAGTTACTTTAATACAGCTTCAACTAATCTTGCCGGCCAAACAAAACAATTTCACATAATGGCTGCCACGACAGTCGTTGACTTTTCCAGTTTGAACCAGTGCAATTCTTTGCCCCTTCCTTTTCCCCTCCCGAACTATGAACATCAGAAATACTTGAGTGGTGACGAACAGAACGAATTATTTGCCGTTTTGCATTTTACATGCTATTTTAGTAACAAAAATGAATATTGAACAAACGTTTTTTTCAGAATAAGATAATTGTCTTTTTTGTATATCTATTTAAATTTTTGATCACAACAAATGTAAATTACTTAAAAAATTGTACCTCATTTTTAAATTTATAAACTCGATTCAAAGAAATTACTTCGTTCCTTACTAGTTAAAAATATGCAATAATTAAGTAATTATTGTAATATTATTGTAAACATTAACAGTCAACATTAAATAGTAGGTACGCCATCTGACCACATAGCGTGGAATTAAACAATAATTCCCTTTGCGGGAAAATTTAAACTACCGCGTAAAGTTGCACTTAGTTGCACCCTCAAGTAACTCAAAGAAATAATATTCCTGGTTTTACTTGGTCTCCTTTTAGCTTATTTATATATAAAATACTTTTATTTGTTACGAGATATTCATTTATTTAGATAAAAATATGAAAATATAAAACAACAAACTTTTAAACATAGGTACATGGAAAACAAAAGTGTACAATTATTTGTTATTAACAAAACATTAAGGTACAATGATAATACTGCACAGAAATTGCACTTTTACTTCTAATTAGTAATTGTACTTTAAAGTTACAATCATATATAGTACAAAAAATTCAAAATTGTAATGTATACACGGTTTATAAAACAAACAGAAAAAAGGAACATTATGTGTACTACTTGGAATGTAAAAGTTACAATATATGCTATGTTTATGGCACCTGGTCCTTAACCTGCTGGCGCAACTGCTCTACAATAATTCTCAAGTCCTTTAATTCTTTAAGACGCATACGTGCTACTTCTTTGGCAATATTATATTTATCTTTATATGTTTGCTCATCCTATAAAATGATTACTACAAACGTTATACGAAACAAAACATTGTTTCAGTTGTACTTACTCTTTTATTTAAATGTGGATTTTCGGCTTGCTTCGTAATGTCAGCCTCGTCTTTTCCATTCAATGTAAATTCTGAATTATGAACCTGATTAGTGGTCAAACTTATTTTAGGAGCATCTTGCTTGTTTTTTTGTTTTTCTGTTACGTTTTCAATAATTTGATTGTTTTTGTTTTTACTTTCACCTTTTTAAGAAAAATATACATAAGTATTAACAATTAATTGGAACAGTGCCAAAACAGTTCAAATTACCTGAACTAGCTAACTCTAATAAAGGAGAATGAAATATACCTAAAAATTACGGATGATAATAAAAAAAGTTTCGTGTAAAAGAAATTCTTACCGCGGCCGAGACTTCTTCTTCTGTCCTGTTCAGCAGTTCTCTTCATTTTCCATATTTTTTGATTTGATTCCTCTAATGAATGATGCTGCTCTACTCCATTAATCCAGACTTGTTTGTACCTATTTTCTAAATCACCCAAGCGTTTTTTATAGGAAGACAATTTAATATCACTTTCTTCTTCTATTTTTTGATATTTCTTTTTCTGTTCGGCAAGCAGAGACTCCAAATTACAGATTTTTTCCGACTGTGTTTGAATAAATGTGTTATGTGATTTGACTAAAGCTTGTTTAAATATTTTAAACATTTCCATAAGTTTTAAAACAAATAACGTTATGGGTTCACGTTTCAATTTTATTTGATTTTCTAAGTACTTAAGCTCAGTTTCAATTTTTGTTATTATTATATCTTCTTGGGTGGATTTCTCTTTTAATGTAGCTAATAAAACTTTGTATGCTTCAGTTTTATCTGTAAGTACATTTTGTAATGTACTGAAATTCTGTAGTTTTATTTTAAGTATGCGAGTTTGTTTTTCATGGTGTTCTTTTTCTGCAATGATTTCTTGCATGTCTTTTTGTAGCTTAGTAACAATTTCATTTTTTCGTTTAAGTTCACTGTTTTGTTTAGAAATTTCATCTCTTTCCTTTTTTGCTTGGTATAATGTCTTTTCATTAAGGAGTAAATTGTTTTGTAATTTTTCTATCTCTTGATTTGCTTTTTCTATTTTATTACAGTAAATTTCCTTAAATTCTTCATGTTTTTGTTCCAGTGTTGCAAACTTTTCGTTTTGCTGAGCCAAAACCTTTCTGCTTTTAGTCAATTCTATTTCTAGTTCCTCAATTTTATTTAAAGCAGTGTGATAGTCTTGACTGATTTTATTTCTTCTATTTGTTTCTTCTATAATTTGCTGACTGCAATTTACAATAACATCTTCTTTTGATTTTAAAGCTAATGTTTTTTCATGTAAAAGTTCTTCCAATTCCTTGTTTCTTTTTTGAATGTGCTGCTGTTCTTCAGTATATTTTTCTAATGATTTCTTTAACATAAAATTTTCTGTAGTTAACGTATCAATTTCTTTAATTGAACTTTCCATTCTATTTGTTAATAAATCGTATTCACTTTTCTGTTTTTGAACTTCCAATATTAGTCTTGATTTTTCTTCTTGGAATTCTTCACTAACTTTTGTAACGAGCTGTTTTCTTTCATTGATATTATCTTTTGAATTAGGAAATTTACAACATTTTAACCAAAATGTTTTGAGAAATGATAGTTTCTGAAAGCCATGTAAATATTCCGCCTTAAGGTCTTTAAAATTCAAATTAATAAATTCTACAAGAGAAAAAAATCTAGTGAAACTATTCTGCAGTTTTTCATTCATAAATGATTTATTTAGAGTATCTTCCCATCTCTTTTCTGAATCAGTTTTGTTGGTAATGTTCATGATATTAATTATGTCTTGCAAAATACCCATTAATTGATTTAATGTTTCTAGATTTTTTTCAATTTTGTTCAGTTTAGTATCTGAGTGACAATTTTCACTACTGACTAATTCCAGTATTGTATCACATAATAAAGTGAGTTCCTTATAACTATCATTTTCTTTACAAAGATGTTCAATTTTTAAACATACATCATCAGTTATCACTTTTAAATTTAAATCAATAGCAAAAGATTCTGCGAGATTGTTTCTACATTCTTCAATCATTGGCAATGAAAATTTATTTTCTGTTTCATTACTTAAGCAATTATAAAATGTTTCACAAAAATCTTGTTGTTTATTAATTAAATTCTCAACGTAAGAACTTAAGTACTTCAATTTTTTTTTTAAATCTTGAAGGGAAACTGGGTCTGAAGATTGAGAGTTTTCACATATTGCCTTACAAACTTTTTGAAAAATAGAACTTAACATTGAGTCATCATCATCAGGCCCATCTAAAAGTTTATATAATACATGCAGTTTTTTTTTAATTTCAAATACTGCATCACTAATATCATCTTCTTCCATATTCACAGCTTTTGGAATGAAATTATCACAGCAACTAACTGAAGATTCATTTAGATTCCCATTATCACAGTCTTCATTATAATAATCTAAACTAAAATATTCTTTAAAAATTAGCATAACCGTAGGTACTATTCTACTTTCAATTTGAACAGTCATGTTACTTACACAGATTCTACATCTTCTAATGACCCCTGTAAAGGTACTTCTGGGCTTAAACTAAAACAGAATTGTTCCAAAATAAATTTACAATAGCAAATTTTGTAGAATTGCTTTCTATGTTTCTATAATTTACCTTTCACGTTCATCAGTCTCTTGAATAACTGGTAGGTATGTCTGTTTGTAGTATGTATCAGTTGGAATTCGTACTTGATAGTTCTGGGTTAAGTTTGTTTGATACAATTTAAGTAAGTCACTATATTTAGCATGCAGTAATTTGTTTTCATGCCTTAATCGACCAATCTGCAATTTCAGGCTATAATTAAATACAACAGCAAAATATATAAAGAAATACTTCTTCTTCTAATTCACACTGGGCTTCTATTTTTGTAAACGACTGAAGTTCTCTCATTTCTTCTTCAAAACTTTCGCTACGAAGTAAACTTGTATTTCTAGAATTTGATTCTTCCTCGTCAATTTCCAACGTATTATTTTTAAATGCTTCCATCACCTTATATTAATTAATTACTACTATATTCTAAAAAATAATCCAATAACTTTAAGGTTAGATCACGTTTAAATTTGAATGAATTTGAACTTGGGCAGTTTAAGATGTGTTCACATGTTCGGAACACCTAATCTGGGCACAATTACAGAGTAGCCCGATCATTCATCAGTATATAATGATACGAGATGTACCTTAAAAAACTATGGCAATGGGTTCATTTTTACCTTTTATTCGTACATTCATCATATAAAATAAGGCTCTTTTAATTTAAACATTTTACCTTCCTGATTATTTTTTTTAAAAATCAGCACTATATTAACAAAGAGTGCTTAGAAATTATTCTCATCTTTTATTGGTCAAATACTAAAGCATTTCCTTAGCCAAAAATGGCCGACTTATGGAGTCCTTGCACTTCGAAGGGTAAGAAATAGAATTATTTTAGTAAAAATATTTGCTGAAAGCCATAAAAGTATTGAAAACTTGTTAATAAATATTGCTGATCACGATAGGCATATAGGTTTTACCGTACATTGTTTCTTTTTCCTCAAATTTTTTATCAACCACTTCAAGGTCATGGGGTACAAATAAATTTATTATATAATTTAAAAATCTTTTTAATAATCGAAAATTCGAGCTAATTTGCGTTTTGAAACTAATTCTTAAGATATTTCCAAGCCAATTTCTACATTTTAATTTTTTGTGTAGAAAATAGTGGTTGAGAGTTACTACCCAACTTAATCTCCTGGCCACAAGTTTTGATTGAGATATGACGACTTCAACTTCGGTGATTTTTGGGGGCGAATTGGATAAGGCAGTCTTCGTATGGTAGTGGAACACTTCCTTGCTTCTATTTTCAGTGGATTGGTTTGGATCACAGAAGGTAGGATTTTTTAAATTTGATTTTTTACAAATATATCACAAGAAAAACTTCCACCAAAAGTATAATATTGAGGAGCTTCGCACTTTGTAAATAACCCTCATCAAACTATTTCATAGGCATCATCGTACTTAGAATGTCTGTTAAAGATTACATGCAAAAAATTATTGTGGGACAAGAACAACTTACCCTGAAAACAAATAATTTAATTTTGAAGGGTATAGCACCCCATAAATAATCCTTAGACCGTCCGACAAATTATCTCATGAGTATTATCCTACTTAAAATGCCTCTTAAAGTTTAAATACAGAAGGTAATTGTGAGATAAGAATAATATTCCTGAAAAGTAATAATTTAATATAAGAGGGTTTCGCACCCTATAACTAATCTTTTTACCTTCTGTCAATTTTTTTTACGGTTCTAATCTTAATTTTAATTACTGTTATAACATAGATGCAAGAAACAGGGAACTATTTTGTATACATTTATGGAAATCAGTACGTAAAACAAGCTGTAGTTTTTTTTTTTTAAATTTTTATTTCGAAGAAAGTGTTAATAGGGATTTTTTCTTGTTTGAAAAAACTGTTTATCTAATGAGTAACTTATAATAACTCCTCTAAAATTTCTTCATAGTCTCCATGGCAACATTCCAAGGTGATATGAGCTCTAAGTAATTATTTGGTTAAGCCTAATTTATTGAATACACTTACAGTGTTGTAAAAACTAATTTTCTACAATTTAATGTTACGTTTGGATTTTAAAAATATGATTTGAAAATATGGGGCAGCTGAACCGGTGACATCTGACGTTGCTTCTCTACTTCTTCTAATCCTTTTGCAGGTCGCGCACCAAAGTTCAAATTAGGTAACGCATTTAATACACAGGGGTCATGGACAACTTTACCCATTTCAATTTAAATACAGGGTGTTTAATGTGGCACATAATTTTCTTAATTTTCTCGGTAATTGATAGGATTTGTAGATTTAGAAAAAACTTTTGACAATGTTAAATGGGACAAGATGTTATATATGCCTACTTAAAAATGTAGGGATGAGTTATAGAGATAGAAGAGTGATACTTAGTTTTTATAAAGAGTAACAGGCAGTTAAAGAGATGGGGCTGCAACGTAGAGAAGTAAATATTAGGAAGGGAGTCAGATAGGGATGCACACTGTCATCGCTACTTTTTAATATATACATCGAAGACGCGATCAACATGATTTAAGACAGTAGAACTGTAGGGATGGATATACAGGGGAAAAAGATTAGTATGCTTAGATTTTCAGATGATATAGCATATTGCAAGGGAAGAAAAAGTAGGGAAAGAGCGAATATAAAGATAGGAGACGAAAAATTAGAAGAAGTGGATGGTTTTAGGCATCTAGGAAGTCAGATTGGAAATCAATAAGAAATAGGTGACATAGGTTGGTAGGACACCTTCTCGGGCATGAAGGTCTAGCGAGAGACATGTTAGAGGCAGAATGAGGAGTTAAGAGGAGTATAGATAGACCTGGATTAGATTACTGTTCGTAAATAATTAAGGATTTGGGTAGTTCTAGTTTTGGGGAAATGCGAAGATTAGCTCAGGATAGGAAAGATAGGGTGCGTGTTCAATCAGTCTTAAGACTGACTACCTTACGATGATGATAGTAATTGAAGTAAAAAGTAATTACATAATTATCTGGTCATGAGAAATGAAATCCAACAATAATAATTTAAATTTAAAAAAAATTATAAAAGTTCAGTATTATTCATATTCAAACAATAATTGATGATTTGTTGAAGAAAGTTGAAGATATATATTCATATATACCTACATGCCTCTAATGTCTAATTAAAGCATCATTTAAGGGCATATTTATTTCCTTTCTCCTATCTCATTTATTTATTCTAAAGATGACTTTGCACCAATTTTTGAAGACTCTCAATGAGATTATTCCACAACGTAGCTGGTAAAGATTTCCCTAATGAAGATGATATTTGCAACTACGGCGATTCCTCTAATTGTCATATGCATTTACATACCTATGTATTAATATTATGGTGTTTACCCTCATAATGACGAAATAAGTTTTTTGGCTTGACTTGGAAGCAGGTAAATTTTATACCAAGTTGTGGCCTACATTCAGGAGTACTGACCTACACTGTTACCTTTTCTTTCAGTTCCGCTCAAGTTTGTTAAGTGTTCGAATCGTAATAGTGCTATTCAATGATATTATTTTCGCGAAAAGTTGGTGGCGTTCGCGTTCGGTAGTGAAGTGAAGTGTGTATAACGGATAGTGCCGGAATGGCATTGTCGATGGTTCCCCCTTCTCCTCCGTCCAATTTGGTATTGAATCCAACCACTGGTCCCCAGCTTGGAGAGGATGAGGATTCTGGACATCCAACGCTGGACAGATTAAGGTTTTGGTGAACCCTACTAAGGTCTAGCCAACGCCTCAAAGTAAGTCACTAACGAGTATTGTGTCAAATAGACCGAGTGGCAAGTTTTTATATTTCCATTTCTATTTTTGATTTTTATTATTTTGGGGCTGATTTGATTTTTGCGCCCAATAAGATGAGTTACAAACTGTAACTTAGTGTATTATTGGGCTCTTCTGTTCTGTCCATGATTATCCAATTTAGTCGCTCCACGCGTTAGGGACCGACGTATGCAGGTGCTGCGCCTGTGACGTCAAACTTTGATTCTTATTTGGGTTTTATTATGATTATCAGCTGCTGTTTTAGATCCTTTACGCCCTTACCTCTATTACGATGTACTTGCAGTAGTTGTTATTTTTTGTCGACATAGGCTCGATAATGGAGAACATTTAAAATTGTGATTATCAATACGTACCAACATGAGGGTTTGTCCACGCAGTCGTTTGGGGGTTGTGGTCCACATATGTATACACTACATACACATATTTTTACATGTTTATTTTATGTATGTGTTTACTTGTCACTCGTAGGTCTATTTGATATTTTTTTCAGCTAGCGCAGTAAGGAAGACAGGGTTGCTGAATTGTTAAGGTATAATGTGTTGTTGTACCTTCTGGAGCCAATTTAAATGATAAAAGTAAATATGTTGGAATGCGTTCTTTTTATTCTTGAAATCAGAATTATTCAGAAACTTTGATGAACGTTTAAAATTTTCTTTTTATTTAAGTTGATTCAATTTTTAAATTTAATGATTGATTAATTTGGTAATGATTCAAGCATAAATATTAATATTTAACTACTTTTCAAACGTGCATTATTCTATTGGGGTTTGGTCATTTCCGTTACTATTACTATCACTAATCCTACCCATATAAAGCACACACTTGTAGTACACAAAAAAGGATTAGAGAACCCTGCTAGTTTCTTACGAAAATCGGAAAATGACCCTCTATCCAACTCTTTGAAACATTGGATTCTAGTAGTTCTCGACATGCAGATCAAAAATCTCAATGGGCGCTAAGTCCTAAAAACTCATCTTTTTGAGATATGATCCCTTAAAGTTTCAATACGTATATCCTTACGGAAAGACTTTAAAGGACCACTTTTGATTTTTACGACTTGAGAGATTTTTGATATACACGTCGAGAACTACCAGAATCGAAAGTTTTAAAGGGTTTGACAAAGGGTTATTTTCCGTAAGGATCTAGCGGTGTCTATTGAACATCTATATAAATTTATTTATGTGGTATGTATTTATCACATTCTAAACTTAATAATACAGTACTACCACCCACCAGTAAGTTCACAGGTTTAGAATAAACCATATATCTTTAAATAGTGCACTTTTTGTGAAACATTTCAAAACTAAGAAAGAAAGAAAACTAATAAGTTTCATGAAGATTTTATTGCCTCGACAATATTGTTTCTGTGATGGCGACCAACATCGAGGGTATACAAAAGATTAGTCACAATCAGTAAAAATTTTTCTTTCATTCTTAATAAGCAAGATACTGTACACCTAACCAAATATTGTTTTGAACGACAATACTAACATTATTACCCATTTTCTTTTTCAGGTTTTCGTGGAGCATTCCTACTTTTTTTTCCATTCCTTGTCCTGTGTCTCCAGAAGAAGTATCAATCAATTAACACTACCAAACATGATCACACAAATCGTTAAAATCGCGATCGAAGTTTTTTTGTATTAAACTTCGTCGTCTTATTGTTTGTTTCTTTTCTTGTTGAATAGTCATAACATTTGTTCTCCGTT